AAAAAAAAGATGACAAAAATTTTTAGAGTAAGAGAAAGGAGAAGGGCCAGCAACAGCAGGAAATAAATATCCCCAGCACCATCGCAGAATTCTCACTTTACCAATTTTACCTGATTGGAACTCGTATCTTTCTAGGATCTCCCTTCCTCTCCTTCCATCTCAAATTTCCCACCCACTTTCCAGTCTTGCAGGGGTGATGCTGACTTGTTAGACCCCGCAACCCTGAAAAGGTCTGCCCTTTGGTCACTGAAAAGGTCAGCTCTAGGAGCCTTCTCTGAGAGTTCAGGGCTATCACACCACCCTGCTAGTTTCTTTCCATAACAAGGAAACAAGAACAGGGTTTTTTGTTTTGTTTTTTGTGGATGATCTTTAACATAACCTTTAGGATGTTAAGTTCAAGAAAAATTTTAATTTTCTGCTTAATTGTCCATCATTTGTACTGAAATATTTTAATGCTGAATAGATCAGAGGAAGACTATCTACCTGATTTAAAAATTTGAAAAAAAATTCCTAGTTATAACTAGTAAGCAAATCTCATTCATACAAATGTTTCTTATTTTGGAAAAATATAACATCAAAAAAGCCATATTGTATTAAGCCAATCAATTAAATTTTTGCATTAGTCATGTCCATATTTATTTGACACTTAATTTATTTCATTAAAACAGATTTATTTTAAGTGTTTGATATAAATTATCTAATACTTTGGTGAGTTAAAATGTTTTTGATGATGCATACATTAATGGATCTACTAAAATCTTTTTTTTTTTTTTTTTTTTTTTTTTTTTTTTTTTGTGGTACCAGGGATTGCGCTCAGGACCTTGCACTTGCCAAGTGAGGTATATCCCTGGCCCCTAAAGTCTTTTATGTTAGTTTGTTATTCTTTGTTTCAGAAACTTCTGAAATTTTATCCCTTTCAGTAATAAGGCTTTCATATTAAAGAACAGGTCTTCCTTTTCAAGTTTTGGGGACTATAATGGATTTTCTTCCTGCTGGTTGGTAGAGTCCACAGGAGACACCGTCTACCTCTTCATGAGATCATGACAGCACTGTATAAAATCATGTAGCATTGGAAACATTTGGGAGGGACAAACTGCAGTAGAAGAGAAGAACTCGGTAGCACAGAGGGCCATGGAAAGTGAACAGTCCTACCTTGAAAAATCTTGAACTTATAAGGCCCTATTGAGCATGTAACAGGACCAAACAGTCTGAGGGAATGAGTTCCAATCTCTAAAACTTAACTAGCTAATTACTGTTTGACCCACTGACACATCCAGAACTTCATTAGCATGGACTTGGAAGAGTAGCCCAGAGATTTTCACAGCCTGTAGACTTACTCTTGGCCCCTGGAAAGAGCCCATGGCAGCTGAGCATACCCCAAATATCCTTCACCTGTATGTTCAAGTAAAGGAATTTGAACACATTCACCATTGTACACATAATTTACTCCTGAATTGGCCACTGCAATATAATAAAATAAAGTAGAATTTCCACAGAGTAGAGTGACCATAGTTAAGGACACATTCTGGGATGTTCTCTTACCTTCACTGCCACCAAGATCTTATCCTGCTCAGGACAGAGGTTATAGCATTCAGCTAGGAAAACTTTTCCAAAGGCTCCTTCGCCTAGCTCCCTTTTCAGAACAATGTTATGTCGCTTGATGTGCTGAACAACTGTAAAAGAAAGACAGAATCGAAATTGGAATTGAAGCATGTTGTGATGAAGGCTGAGATGGAGAATCCATGGTCTGCACCCTGAACTTGCAGGCCCAGAGTGTTCTACACAGAGTGAAGCAGAGATGTAGGCTGTCCACCTCCACCATCTACAGCTTCCAGTGGTTGGCAGGAGGCTTCACTGGCTTATTCTCCAGAATTCAACTACTGTTTCTGATAAAATTAAAGATCTAGCTGTTGGCTTCAAAATGTCATCAATGAACTTGAAATGAGAAAAGAGAGGTGTGAGAAAGGAATTAATAGTAATGACAAATCTTGTCTGAGGCAGACATTTTACATAAATACGTCAGTCACATGTCCAGTGGGAAAGGCAAAGGGATCCCCAAGATTCTCTCTTTCCTAGTTATCCATTTCACAGTCCCAAGGAGAGAGACTTACAGCATATCAAGGAGAAATGTAAGAACCATGCATTGCGAGGTAAGGCACACACCTCAGCCCTGTTTGAGCCCTCTGATGAGATGAACTAGACCATGGCTGAGCTTCAGTGACTCCTTTTGTTTAGACAAGAAATGTTTAGAACCTGTGCTAATAGCTGATTTCTTTATCCTAGCTCTAAGATCTCTTCAAAACCAAGAAGACACAAGAAGAGGTGGATCTGGAGAACAAGGACTCTTTTTCCCTATAGCCTGGAGCAGAACTGGCCAAAGTCATTCATCCATATGCCTCTTCAGAGAACAAGACAAGAAATGGCCAAATGTCCTCAGAGCTCACTGGCTGCAAGCCAGAAGCCAGAAAAAGGCAACACAGAAAAATTGAGCTACTAGAGCTTCCTGGAAGGGGAACATGGGAGAGTTTGTACTTCACTGCTGAGGATTGCAAAGCTGACTCTTAGCATGGGAGTTCCCCTGATTGAAGCCAGCATTCCTTTTGGAACCTTTTGTCCAGGAAAGAAGTATAGCCAGCTCTCCATAGCTTTCAGTTCCACATCTGTGTATTAAACCAAGTTTGGACAGAAAAAATTTAGATCCTCTCCAAAAAAGAACCCACACACAAAAAGGAAAAAAAAAGAATATTGCTTCTATACTAGATTTAGACAGATCATTCTTCTTGTCATTATTTCCTAAATAATACAGCATAACAACCAATTACATAGAATTTACAGTGTATTAATGACTATAAGCAATCTAGAGATTATTTAAAGAATGCAGGAAGACTGTATAGGTTGCATTAAAAAATGCAACCACTTCACAACAAGCACCGGAGCACCCTTGGCCTTTGTATGACAGGGGCACCCTGGAACCAACCTTCCACAGATACCCAGGGAAGATTGTGAAAAAGGGTGTGCCTGTCTGTATTTTATAAATGAGGAGACAGACTACAGAAGTTTCAAAGACACAGTGTGGGAAAGGAAGATCTGGAATTAAAACCTAAGTCTATCTGAATTTAGAATCTATATCTTCCCTTCTATACCATAAAGTATCTTTTCCATGATAAATTGTGTTAAATATATTGAAAGACTTGATGCACATAAGACTTAGAGAACAAAATAAGACTCATCTTCCTACTTGCTCTGCCTAGATCTCCCTTCAAAGCCCAGGTTAAGTTCCTGCTTCCAGAGAACGTTGCCAAACCACTGTGATGACACAAGACCTTCTTTCCTGAACTCTGAGCTTAGCTGAGAGTTTTGGCTTAGTTGTAATGTATTTTGTCTCCCCGTTGGTTCAACCTATAGGTCCTCTGAGGTTATGATAATCTCTGTACATCGCCTTTATTTTGTGCAGTGCCTTAGGAACTAAACACAAAATGGAAAATCAGTCCTGGGTGTATTTTGATATTCTTTCTTTAATAAAAGTTTGTTACTGATTGTGATGTGTTTTAAAAGGCAGATTATATAAAGTATAATTTCAGCTTGATAAATAAAATGAATATTTAAAAATTCATCATGCCATTTATCATTACAGCTTGAGTATTCCTTGCCCTTAAACTGCTTGTAATTAGTGTGTTTTGGAGTTTGTATTTTTTCAGATTTTGAAATATATATATA